GTCTTCAAATTAATTTAAATAAATTAATTTATTAATTTATTAATAAAATATTAATTTATTATAAATTATACTAGTATTATATATTATATTAATAAGTCAATAAAATTGTTTCTGTCAGGCTTGTACCTAAAAGATAAGAGTAGCGGGTTTTTTTTTCTTCCACAGGATATAGCTCAGTCCCATAAAAATAGTTTCAGAGAGTATGAGCTCTCTGAATAATCTGAGGCTGGTAAGGGAGCCTAAGAAAGATAAAGTTTTTGTTTGCTTGCTTTGTTTTGTTAAGCTATTCCAAGGGAAAGCGAAGGATCAATAAGGGGCCAGACCACAAGAAGTATTAGTGATGGAGAGATAATGACAAATGATGACAGAGAGGTCAAAACTGCCAATCCTTATTAAACTTGTGTTTTCTGAAGTGGTAACACAGGACAATGGCTAAATAGAAATGGATTGCCAATGTAAGTGAGGAGACAGCAACAGTCTTTTTGTATTCATTGCCTTGTTTCCCAACTTAGTTGTCCTTGATGATTCCAACTCACCATACCCAGATGAACTAAAACCTCTGGCATTAAAAGAACTAGCAGATGTGACTGCTGAGCCAGTTTTAGTGATAACAGAAAGATTGTGAAAAAAATAGACTATGGAAAACAAGAGCGATCCATGAGACTGAAAAGAACTATTTGCAAACTATAGACTGAATTTGATTTTAATTTCTGGGAAAATTCTAGGCAGAAAGAAAGAAGGAAGAAAGCTTTTAGGTAGAAAGGAAACAGGGCTAAGTGCTTTACAAATATCTCATTTGGTCCTCAAAACAACTCCAAGGTAAGTGTTATTACTGTCACCTTTTTACAGATGAGGAAACCAAGGCAGAGTTCATGTGAGTTGCTAAGGGTCTTCCTTACTCCACACCCAGTGCTGTATCTTGACACCAAGTGGCTTTATTAAAGAGGTAGTTAATGACATCTGGGAAACAAGGCAATGAATACAAAAAGCAATTATGCTTTCATCAATAGGACATGAAACACTAATCTCATATTTTTGACAGGGTTAGTAAAATAGTAGAAAAACGGAATTCTGTACATGTAGTTTACTTGGATTTTAGCAAATCATTTCAAAAAGGTTCACATACTACTCTTAGGAAGAGGGAGAAGATGGAAAAGATGTGGACTAGATGGTAATACAAGGGGCTGAAATCAGTATTGGCTGAATGGCCAGACTTTAACATTTGTTAATGACTCAGTGTCAAGTTGGAAAGCTGTCTGGAGAGTAGCACCCCAGGGATTTGTGCTTGGAATTACTCTGTGTTTTTTGTTTCTTCTAAATGACTTAGATTAAAGCATAGGTCGAAGGCTCATTGGATTATTTCCTTTTTTTAATATCTGTATCTCCAGCCAGCAGCACAGTCCCCATGGGTATTAAATAAATGCTTATTAATTTACTGATTCTGCTATTTAATAGCAGTTAGGACTAGAACAAAGCTTCTTGGGAAATGGATCCAGTGTTTTTTATTTTATAGTATGATTCCTCTCTTTTGGTTCCTAATATGGTGGTGCAGTGGATAGAGTTCTAGGGCTGGAGTCAGGAAGACTCATCTTCCTGAGTTAAAATCTCACCTCAGACATTAGCTCTGTGACCCTGGGTAAGTCACTTAACCCTGTTTGCCTTAGTTCATCTATAAAATGAGCTGAAGGAAATGACAAACTACTCTGGTACCTTTGCCAAGAAAATCCCAAATGGGGTCATGAAGAGCCAGGCAGGACTGGAAATAAGCAAATAATAATGTCAATATTCAAGATGATAAAGAGTAATAACAATTTCTTTTCCTGCTGAGGGGAAATCTTGAAGTCACTTTGAAGGCGTCTTTGTGATACCATACCTTCTGTCTGGTGAAGGGGAATGACAGAAAAAATGGTGAAATATCAATGATCAGGAATCATTCTAAAATCCACAAATTGGTAGGAATTATTACCTCCACTCTACGGGTGGAGTGTGGCCAGACTGATAAGCATACCTTTGCAGCGCTGGTCACATGCAAAGAATAACAAGATGGCCTGGAGAGCAGTTGTTTAAGTGAGATGAAGTAGACTGGATGACAGACAAAGGGATCAGAAGAAACGTGAATCTTTTGCTGAAATTTATTCCCAAGCAATGCAGACTTACTAGCTGGCCCATGAAATGGACCTGAAGCTTAGCAGCCATCAAGGCTGGCCTGATTAATCCTGGGCAAATGATTAGCCAGTGGTGGGGAACCTGCAGCCCCAAGACCACATGTGGCCCTCTAGGTGCTCAAGTGTGGCCCTTTGACTGAATCCAAACTTCATAGAACAAATTCTGTGAAGTTTGGATTCAGTTAAAGAGTCTGAGGACCTAGAGGGCCACATGTGTCCTCGAGGCCACAGGCTCCCCACCCGTAATAGACTATCCTTAAATATGAAAAACAATTACAAAGAGTGGCAATCCCTTCAAATATCGACTCAAAATGATGACAAAGCCTAAATTACGAATTGGTCTTTTTAGTCACATATACAACACACAAATAAAAATCACTATTAATGGCATAATAGTTGAAAAATAACATCAAAAATAGCAAACCAAGATTTGGTGGATAAAACTAGAATGATCTTTGGGGAAATGTGATACCTTTGTCAAAAAAGCTAACACAATAGAATAAAAGAGAATATTAATGAACTGAGTATGCAACTTAAAAACTAGACAATCAATAAATTAAACCCAAAATACATATCAAAGAAGAAATTAGAATTGAAATATACAGAACACAAAACAAAAAGTGCCACAGAAATGATTAAAAAAATTAAAAGCTAGTTTTTTAATAGCAAAGTCAATAAGCCTTTAGGTAATCTCATTTCTAAGAACAGATGTAAATCAAACTACTAAAGTCAAAAAAAAAATTAACAAGGTGAATTCACAATGATTAGAGAGGAAAGGAATAGAATTTGCAGAAACTGCTATACACAATTATGTCAGCAAAACTTATTTAAAAGAAAAAGGATAATGTCCTACAACATAACAAAAGATTTAAATAAACAAAACAGGAAATAAAAATCTTAAGCAATACAGCTTCAGAAACAGATATTGAACAATTTATAAATGAACTACCAAGCCCATAAAGGTTTGTAGTGGAAGAAGAAAATTCAGTTTTTCCTTATTTCAGGAATAGTCATTCAATCGTATTGCATGAAGTTAATGTAAAATGTTTGATCTGTATCATTATGTGCAATGCACTAGGCTAGGTATTTGTTAGGGATACAGATATTATATGAGGCATTATCTTTGACCTGTAGGAGCTTACCAGATGGTTGGGATGCTAATACATTACCATCTCAGGCCAAGGAGGCCAAGGGCACTGGGAGGCCTGCTGGGACAGGGGTAGGACAGCGGCTGCTCATATCCAAGGGAAGATTCCCTAGATTCCCTATACAGGTCTTGCAAGTGCAGGGCACATAAGAAGGAGGGTAATGCACTGTGATTACGCAGTTGGGAGAGGGTACGGTGAGAAATTTTTGGCATTGTGAAACAGGAAGAATACTTGTGTATGGAAAAAATGTGAAGTAAGCCTAGGTGCAAAAGACATGACAGTAATATCAGCCATGCAATAAGCCATGTGTCTTCCGTATGAAATCAAAAGTGATGAAGAAGCAAGGTTGTACCAGAGTGCCCGTCTTGGTTCCCATTCATTTTATCGTACGGTGTGTATGCTCATTACAGCTTGTCTTGATCATGCTTTGTGACCTGGTTGTTAATGCCCCAACAGTGAGGCACCAGATGGAGCAAGCAAGAAGCATAGCTTTAAGATCAAATTCTGCCTACTATAGGCCACACCCTGGGTATGGGGAGGGGGGCATATATCAGTCAAGCTTGCCTCCAGCCCCTGTCCTGTAAGGACAGTGACAAAGGTTATTAGGGTACAAAATGTAGAGAGTATGAAGTAAAAGGCACACTTGCCTTGTGACTGGTACGTAAGACATTTAATAATTGCTTTTAAAATATTAATTAATTTGTGAGAAAGTAGAAATGAGGCAAAAAGTCTTTGTGGAGCTTTTGAAAATAGTTGAAATTTCAAGTATGAGATAGTGACTTTTCACCTCTATCATATACCATATGCATACACACACACAATAAAGTACTTTACACACAGGTAAAAGGTACAATGCTAAATATTACAGGATTTTATAGGACAGTGAAAAGGCATTATTATGATTCCAAGGTAAAAAGTTCAGCAACTATTCCTTAGTTCCTCCTTTAATCAGGAGGTTACAAAATTAAGTTTCTATATCCTGATGTCAAAATGGGATGCAAGAAGCTTAACTTTTCCCCATTTAGGGTCAATATTTTATTAGCCACCAAAAAAAAAAAAGTGTGTGAGTGTGTGTGTGTGTGTGTGTGTGTGTGTGTGTGTGTGTGTGTGTGTGCGATAGCTGGGATACAGGTGGGAAAGAATGGTCCTGTGATCTCAGCATTGGTGAACTACCAGCAAGGAAAATTCCTCTAGCAGTATAGGTCAAAAAGTGTATTGCCACTTCCAGCCTCAGAGGCTAGCCACAATACTAAGTTCAAATTATCTGTTACGTCAACAAGGTTTATGAAGCCAAAGAATTAAACTATAGCTACCCCTGATCCCCTTATGCTACAAGAATGATAGATCTTAGATCAGAAATTCTTAACCTGGAGTTTGGGAACTTTTAAAAAATATTTCAATAACTGTATTTTAATATAATTGGTTTCCTCTGTATCCTCATGTCTTGTATTGCATGTACTTAAAAACATTATTCTGAGAAGAGGTCCATAGGTTTCACCAGACTGCCAAAGGTGTTTATGACCAGCACAAAAAAGAATTCCTGTCTTACTTAGATCCTCTAGAAAAAAAAAATATAAAGATACCCAGCACAAATTAATGACATTTTATATAGATCATTTAAAAGAACTGAATTGTTCACATTGCAAATCTAATTTAATGCTTAGACTTAATTTTTCTTATTTTTTACCTTTTGGTGGAGCTGGTGGAGCTTCCAGAAAGTTCTATGGTTTTTCTGAATCTATGGAGAACAAAATAAGACAACTCTGGTTGAGAGATCTGGATGTTTGAGACCTTAAATTTGCAGAACAGGCCCAGCGGTTTTAACCTTAACACTAGTTGATGACATTAAATTGAAATAAAAGCTATGAACTACAATAGTTTGCCCATTTTTAACCTGCATTGTTTTTTTGTTATAATGGGGTTTTCTACACTAACTCCTATAGGGAAACAAACATTGATATTGAATTGAGATTTAAAAGGACAGCCAGACCAGCAATGTAGCCCATTCAGAAAGGTGAAATATTCCCCCAAATTTAAACATCAGAGCCCTTTGAAGTCCGCCAAAAGGCTAGAGAAAATTCAAAGCTGAATACAATGAAAATGAGGAATATTTTTAAAAATCCCACAAATTGGTAAAAAAAAAGATCAAATGTAAATGTTTCACCAACATGGACATTTTGAGAAGAATAACTAATGGGAGAGACATCAAAAACTATATAGTTAATATAATTGTAATAAAAAAATCATTGTGATGGCAAGCCACTACGAACAAGCAAAATTGTGTGTGTGTGTGTGTGTGTGTGTGTGTGTATGCAAAAATATGAAGAGTGGAAAGAATTTCACAAACTTTGAAAGCCCTCTCTAGTTCTGATTAAAATATCCCAAATCTTTTTAAACATTTGTATGAAGCAACTAAAAATAGGTTTTTACTACCCTAACATAATAGTCCTTGCAGCTCAGTGTCAAACAGCAAAATAATCTGTTCAGCCTTTACTCAAAGAATATCTTTTTTTTCTTTTTTTAAGGCCAAGTGCAAACAACTAAGACAGCCAAGAAAATTAGATTAAATAATTTTTTTTTCCATTTCGGCTACATGCTGATTTGTACATACTTAGAATAGTATTGGAGAATTTAGTGCAGCTGTTCATTATGTTAAGAATGAGAGGAAATCATTAAAGAAACTTCCAGGCACTTGACTTCCACACCAAAATAGAAGCAAGTGGTACAGATCAGGGAGCTAATTCACATGCCAGCAAAGGCTTTTTGCCAAAATGTAACTTTCCTGGTAATGTGTTTCTCTAAAATGCAATTGACAGTCTTCCAGTTTTGCTCTCCCGGGTCTCCATGTTTATAATTCCAGTAGCTAGAATTTACATAATTGCAATTTCACTTTGACAATGTTATTGGGCTCTTTTTATGCCTAATTTTCTGAATAGTTGCTTCTTCAAGTTGAAGATTCTGTTAATTATTTCAAACACAAGGTGAAAATGTGGACCATATTTGATACCATTGTTAAGTGAAAAAATGGCATCTCATGGATTTGGAAGATGAGGGGACTACTTCTTTTATTTTCTCTTCAAGAACTACACATGCAAAACATTTGGGAAGCCAACACAGCTGCAGGGCTTACTTACCATACCAGTACTGTCTACTCAGTATCCTTTCTAGCTCTTTATAGAATCAAGTTCAAAACACATGAAATTTATTTCCTGAAACATTTCCAAAATATTTGCTTTAAAACCAGTGTTTCAGAAATATTGTTGAAGGAATTCATGGATTAACTATTTTCTTCAATTATCTTTATAGATTTTAGTATTACCCCTTCCTCCTATTTATCCCCATTTCTTTTCATCTATTAGATGGCAAAGAAGCTGACTAGAAGAAACCTTCATAAATGCAAATGATAAATGCAAAACTGACCTCTTAAACCGAAATATTTGCTAAACTTAATTCCTTTATTATTGCTTTAACGGATATTAAGGGATCTGTAATTTCACTGGTAGGGATACACCTTCCCAGTAGTGCAGATAGCAGCCCACTCATGCCAGTGTGTCCTGTGTACATCTTGACCTTGACTTCCTATAAATCTCCCAAGACAAACTAACCTCACATATTGGATGCTTTCCTCTATCTTTTGACATCTTGTGAGTATCAATGTTATTCAGTTGTTGTCCATTGCATTCACTACATGACTGGCCCATTTTCTCTGGGATAGCTTACATGCCACATTGTGTATGTACTTCATCTTTGGTAATAGGCTATAGATTATTTATGCTCACCATGTATAACTCCATTGTCTTTGAGTGATCAGCAATTTTGGTTACTCAGAGATGATGATGTTTTATGATTCATAGCTATACACTATCTCCACCATAAGACTACTGATGTGAAAAGATATTCAGTTCAATTTAACCAACATTTATTAAGCAGTTACTTTGTACCAGGTACTGAGCTCAGCACCAATATAAAAATGAGACAGTCCCAGCCTTCAAGTTTAAATTTTATTGAAAGAAAGCAAGACATACATTAAAGATTAAATACAAAATACATACAAAGTGATTTCCCAGGAAGGATATTAATGGCAGAGGGAGGGAAAGAGGCAAGAGAGGCTGATACGAAGCCACATCCGAGCGGAGCTTTGGAAGATAAGATGTACAGTCAAGATGACTGAAGAGCAGGAAAAAATATATACAACCCAGCTCCTCCAACAAAATTCCTCCACAAAGATCTAGAAAACATACCAGACCAAGGCCTAATCAGGAAATTCATGAAAAAAAAGACTGAGTTATTTTTCCAGTCCAAGTCAACACAGGGAGAAAGACTGAGAAGAATGTGGACACTGGGGATGGGGTCTAGCCAGGTGCCTGCTGAACAGAGAATTTAGGGATCTGTGAGAGGGTCAAGACTGGGCAGAAACAAGAAGAGATCGCAGACCCATACTGGGGCATATGACCTCCTGAAGGGTATGGGATCAGGTGACATTGGGCATGTTTATGTATCATTACCAAATTCTGGGTTATAGATACAAGCAGGACTGAGGAAGAGAATTGCACAGGGGTGGCCTTTAAGGATAAGGGGTAATGGCAGATGCCTTGCCTGTTTACTGAGCCAGAAACACATTAAGCAGCAAATAGTAGCTGGCTGGCTCTGATGCTAGGAGCAGAGCAGGATCTCAGCTCCAGCATCCAGCACTGTCTGAAGCCTGAAGTGTAATGACCAGGCCAGGAAATCCCAGACTAAAGAAGATTCTGCAGATCTACTGCTCTAAACCAGCTGGCTGAGGGAATGAGTCCAAAAACAATATATTACAACTTCCAAGCAGGGACAAAGGCCACTGGAGTATTGCTCAGACCCAAGCCTTGATCAGGAACAAAGTCAAAAGACTGAAAAAAATAGAAGAAAATATAAGGTATCTCATAGCAAATGGAAAACAGATAGAGGAGGAATAATTTAAGAATCATCAGATGATCTGAATGCTTTGAACAAAAAAAGAGCCAAGACATAGTTCAAGAAATCTTAAAAGAAAACTGTCCATATCTCTTAGAACCAGATGGGAAATTAGGAATTTTTTTAAAAATCTACTAATGAACCACTACAACAAAAGAAACCCCAAAATAAAAAGTCCAGGAATATCATAGTCAAAATCCAGAGCTTATAGTTCAAAGAAAAAAAAAATATTGCAAGCAGCTAAAAAGAATTCAGGCACCAAGTAATCACAGTCAGGATCACACAAGATTCAACAACAACCACCATACAGAAATGGAGAGGTTGGAATGTGATATCTCAGAAGGCAAAAGAAAAGGCTTATATCAAAGAATAACTTAAACCAGAAAAACAGTATAATCTTACATGCGGAGAAAACATATTTTTAATGAAAGAAATGACTTCCAAAAAGTCGTGATGAAAAAATAAGAGCTGAGTAGAAACAATGAAATGCACATGAGTGCATGTACACACACACACACACACACACACACACACACACACACACACACATACACACACACACACATACCATGAGTGAACAATCATAAGGGACAAAGCAAGGATAAACTGTTTACATTCTAATATGGAGAAATGGTACATGTAGACCTTCAGAACTCTACAATCACAGGAGTCATAGAGGGAATTTTATTAGACGGAAGGCCTGGGAGTGGTTCTTTTATGTTTTGATGATTCTAAAAGAATGGAAAAAGGAAGAAAAGAGAAATGCACTAAGGGATGAATACAAGGAGAGGAAGGATGAGAAAAATTATCTCGTGTACTTGGGATATGCAAACAGAAGTCTACATACACACACACATGCACACCACACAAAGAGAAAGGCTTGGGAGGGGAGTACGCAAACATCACTTTCATCTGAATGGATCTAAGGAGAGAGGAATACGCATATAGTTAGATAGAGAAATATGTTTCATTAAATAGGAGAGGAAGGAGAGAAGAGAAAGGGGACTAAGAAAGAGAAGTGATTAAGAAAGAGATTATTCAAACTCTTAAAAAGGGAGGAGGGAAACAAAAAGAAGGAAAAATATAAGAGAACAGGAAGGAGGAAAATACACAATTAATAATCATAATTGTGAATGTAAGTGGGATGAACTCACCCATAAAGTGAAAGAGGATAGCAGAATGAATTAGGAAGCAAAATCCAACAATATACTATTTGCAAGAAACATATTTGAAACAGAAAGATGTATACAGAGTTAAAATAAGGAGACAGAGCAAAATCTATTTTGCTTCGGATGAAGAAAAATAAAAAGGCAAGGGTAGCAATCACAGTGTCAGACAAAGCAATAGCAAAAGTAGGTTTAATAAAAAAGAAATTTAAAAGTGAAACTACATTTTGTTGAAAGTTAAAAGAAACAATAAATTGATATCAATACTAAATGTATGGACATCAAATGAATAGCATCTAAATACTTAAAAGAAAATTAAATGAGTTTCAGGGAGATATAGTAAAACTACAGTGGAGAAATCATCACTTTACCTCCTTTTCAGATCTAGATATCTAAATAAAAAATTAAAAAAGAAAAAAGAAATACACAATATAAGAAAACTTAATTTTTATAGGCTTCTGGAGATTACTGAGTAGGAATAAAAGAGTATATATATTGCTCATCAGTGTATAACACTTACACACACAAAAAATGGCTATATTATAGCATAAAATCCTTGAAAAGAAATGCAAAAAAAAGCATAATTTTAAGCGTATCTTTTATACACCATAATGCCATAAAAATA